CAAAAGCGTTACAGAACAGTAGTTTTCTATTACACAAACTAACTATAAGACCTTTGAATGCACTTTTGGCTCAGAATAAAAGTATCTCATGCTTTAAGCACACAGCTTTAACATGAAATTATGCCATAATTGTAATGTACCAGTTCTCAATGAAACTAAAAAATAGTAGTAATAGAATTTCACAACTTTTGAAAACTATCAGACACCTTGAAAAATCATTCAAAGTAAAGTATATCTAAAAAATCACAAATCAATTTTCTCGTTTTTAATGCAATATGACACATTTTTTGAAAAAGAAAACTTACATTGACAATCATACATATAGATTCTCGATATAAATGCTTTCATGACAAAATTTTCGCATGAAGAAATTCGCAGACTTAACCTTAAGCTGCTTTACTCTGCCGTAGCGTGACTTCATCCTACTCCGCCTTGTCTCTCTCCACCCCATTTCGGCTTGTACTCTAAAATACAGCGGCAAATATAAAATCAAAGATTATATTCAAAAACTATTGTAGATATAAGATAAAATATCATAATACATTATTTTGTGTAAAATTTGTTAGAACGAAAGAAAACACTTGACTAATGATATGAACGTTATTCTCAATCTTAGAATAAAACTAGCATATCTAAATAACACGGTTTCAAATATCTAATCCAAGTATGAAGGAAAAATAAATCGACTGTTTTCATGTTTGAGATCTATGTAAATAGAGAAGAATAAAAACATGATAATCTTTCTTTGTAATGCTTTTCTCATCTTTTTGTTCACGGAACAAAAAGAGTGCTGTCAAAAGTTTTTTGAAAAGTTATATTGTTTTTCTAGGAAACTGCCTTAAATGAGAAGCTTGATGAATTTACACAATAATCAATTCATATTCTTCTTAGTAGAAACCAACAAGACAATCGATGCTATTGCATCAGGTCTATTATTTCAAAATTGGTGGATAAAATCACTAGAGTTATGTGGTTTTTGTAATGTTCCATGTGGAGAAAATCATCAAATTTGACTTCATGATAAAACTACCATTGGTCAGGAATTGATGATTGTATTGAAATATTTTTGAACATATCGACATCACTGAAAAGCTAGTAATCAATCGAGATCATAAGGAGTAAACAACTTCGATTGCTGATGTACGACTCTATTTTATCTGATTTGGAATACCTGCAGCACAGAGTAAAATAATACAATGATCTGTAGTTCAAACAAGATCGACTGAGGATTTTGGCGTTTCCAAATTATTAAACTCTATAAGTTTACATTCGTATTTCATTCTGGTTTCAGCTATTTACTTAACCTATTGTAATAAATGTAAGAAAATAACAAGTTCTTGCACATAATAGTAGACACATTTTCACATGAAACACCATAGAATGGAAAAGAAAAATTAATCATTGAAAATTACATGGAATGCGACAATTGCCACCTGCAGCAGCTATCTATTTGTCATTTCCGTTTTTTTCCTTTTTTGTTTCTGTAGGTTGACTCAATGTTGTTAGTTGATTTTCAGGGAATATATTCTACACTTTCTACTCTTTGGACATGTGATTAAAGGGAAGATCTATCTGAAAATATAATGTAAAACTACGAAGTCGAAGAGTGTCATAAGATCGAACACATAATACTTTTTGTTTATTGATTCTTATGGAAAATAGTCAAGACAAAAGATTTGATATATAAGTTTTTAGACTAGATCAAATGTAATATGTTATGAAGATCTAAAAGAGTTCTTGATGATGCAAATATATGGAATCTATTTTTATAATTTAATCTAATCGAATTGCTCGACTTTTTAGGAATAAAAATGTTAAAAAAAGACTCAATATTTACTTCTACAAATGAAGAATTTAATCAACCAAATATAGAAGATATTATGTATTTAGTAATCTAAATAATCAGATGTCTCGTTCTCTTTTACTCAATGATACTGTTTTGATATTGATGAATACTATTCTTGTTTTGATAATAATATGTTTCGCGTTAAAATTTCATCTATTAATTTTACTCATTAAAAAAATCTATTTGCTACATTGATATCAAGTATTCAAACAAAAAAAAGGAATTTTAAAAATTTATCTTTTCTTTTTCCAGAAGAATATCGAACACAAGAATATGAATTAACTTATTCATTTACGTTTTATAAATTCCCAAGAATTTGATTAACTAGGTTTTTTTTCTGTTTAACTAAAAGAAATTCACACGAGACAAAAAAAGAACAAAAGGAATAAAATTATTTTGACGAAAGTAAGTTTATAGTTGAACGAGTATTTTGTTTATCAATTTCAATTTGAAATGAACTTATTGACGGATATTGTTGATCATTTGATGTTGATAAATATTTTTTTGAACGACGAAATTCTAATGATTTTCGTTCATTTATACTTGTACTCATATCACTAAGTGATTCGTGTTCATCACTAACATAACTATCTTTGTGTTTAATAAATATAATAAATAAAGCCATAAGAATAAGAATTAAAATACATAGAAGGCTAAATATTGATGTTAAATGACCCATAGAAATAAATAATCCAAAAGGTGGTATTGACTTTGTATGATTATTCATGATAATGATTGTCTAAAGAACAAAAAGAGGAAACAGAATCTAAGACAATTATTATTACATCGCAACACGCATTGTTTATTGCATGACAAATGAAATATGTCGAGAAAATCTTTTATTCATTAGTAACAAAGCAAAAAGAAAAAAAAAAAGAAAACGAAATGATTGTCAAGTCAAGTTTGATCAACAGAGGAATTGTTTTTGATTTGTAAAAAAAAAAACAGGCAATGAACGTCATACATATATAATTAAGAAATATTTGATCATGTATTTATGACGTAAGACATGTCATATCTAATTAGAATACGACTGACGAATATTATATAATTATTTACCTTAAATATTTTAAATGAATTTTATGAATGCAAAATATAAAATAATAAAAACTTCAATAGAAAATTTTTTATTTGATATACAGCTTTGTTCTCTTCTTTCCTGGAACAAGAAAACATAATTATAGCCGTTCTTGAACTTGAATTCCATGTGGATTTGTTCTACTATTGTCAGCATTTCATGTTAGAAGATGAAAGTATTTCTTTTGGATATAGACAATCAAATTTATTCTTTGATGTAAACTTGTTTTCAATTGATTGTAACCATCATCTTAAGTTTTATCAAGAAAAGGTTGTATAACGAACGATCCACTTTCGTTGTGTCTTCATCAAAGTTTAAAAAAACATTACTTCTAATAAAGAAATTTCTATACATAAGATTTTTTTCAAATATTTTTACTACGACTGAAATTTAATTAATGGAAAATTTTTTTTCTTGGTCAGATGCATCTGTAATTGATAGTTGTATTCTACTATAAATAAAAATCTTTATTTGTAGTGAATTGCCTCACTATAAAAATGACTTCTTTATGAAAAAAATAAGTTTTCCATTGATATTCTTTTTTTGAAATCACTTTCAAAATAATAATCTTTTGTCGTGCTGTTGGAACATGAACGTGACTATAGTCCTTATGGCAAATGTTCTCTGCCTAATGCTATGTTTTGACACGCGATATGCATGTCTTCTTGAAAAAATAATTTCTTAGTTAGGCAATGAGTCGATTTTTTTTTCGTGTCGTTTATTGATAATTTTGGTACCGACAACATAAAAGTGCTTTATTTTTTCTGCATTATTTGTTAGATACAGAGCATGGCTGACATTTTGACTTGATTTTTATTCTTTTTTAAATAATTTGATTTACAGACAACTAGTTGATTTTGAGAACCACTTATGATCAAACTTTCTGATAATATTTCAGAAAATAATTCATAAAGGCTACTGAAGAATGATAGTCACGATTGGACATTTTTAATCATTTCATCTCCTTACGATACTCGATATTTTTCACAGTAGTATTCATAATGTCTCTGAAGTATCTTTTTTTTTACTTCAAAAGTGTCTCTAGTATTCTTCATATGATACGCTAATGTATTTCTTTAGTCACTTCTAAATTACAAAATCATTTAACAATAAAAAGACTATTTTAGAGAAAGATCACTATCAAAAAAAATGTTTATCAATGTCACTTTACAATGATATAAAATGTACTTACAATAGTTTGTTTATTTCCGTTCAAACTATATAAAATAAATTAACTAAAATGATAATAATAATAATAATAATGATATTTTCTCTCGTACTTGATATACGTATAACATCTGACATGAATTCATCATTCGATGAAGTTATTGGAAAAATATTCAAATTTATTATAATTATATGAAACTTAGTGTCAAGCTAAACGAATATTAAATGAATGTCAAATGCTTTCTACATTAGATTCATTTGAACTTCAAGATCGTTATATGCATTTATATGATGATTATTTACTGTTGAAACAGAACGCAAGAAAACAAGAATAGAAGATTGAGAAAGCAATAATTTAATTAAACATACGATTTCATAGATAAAAGTATTCTTTTTGATAAATTGACTACTAAATTGATTAATTTAATTAAAGATAAGAAATATTTATCAAAACAAAATATCAGTATTACAAGAAGAAATAAACTACTTAAACAACATCTTCTTATTCTGAGTCTCTCAAACATCTAGATGTCTGTAACATGTTCTCCTGTTCCAATGCAAATTTTGAGTTTAAGTATGCTGTAATTTGACAACATTTTCTTCTGTTGTCACCTAATACGCTGCATTTTCTAATTCATTCTTATCAATAATAAGACGTGTTCGATTATATGGCATATTTCAAGAGCTGACTATTACGAGACTCTAATTAATGACATAGTCCCAAACTCCCGAAACAAAACACATTCATATAACAAAACATTATAATGAGAAAAAGTCACATATAACAAAAGAAAACAATATTCATGTATAGATTAGAATCTTATCTTGAAGATATTAGAAAGATGCATATTAACAAGTGACATGAATTTTGTTCCTGAAAAATTTCAATATTAGAGATTATGACAAGGTTTAGACAACAATATAAAAAAAACATTCCCATCCAAGAGCAGTTGTTGACATTGCACCTGCGAATACACAAATACCTGAGCCAATTGAATATCCAACAGGAGTTAATTGAAATAAACCTCCAACGAAAAGCGCACTAGTACGAGTCGCTAAACTTGTTCCTTGGCGAATACAGTGCATCGCTTTGAACGAGTTTAGTGTTCGACTGGAATCAGCTGAAAAACAAGCCAACATTCGATACATCCATTCTTGCCAAAAAGTTACAATAATAGTATCGGCTATGGGAAGATAAGAAACTGCTGCAGAAGCTGTAGAAAAAGCAGCAATAATTTTATTGGCAATTGATAGTCGATGTTGACTAATATAATCAAGATTTTTGTCAACAATTTGTGCATTTAGTGGTGATGTAGCATTAATACTCAGTCGAAGTTGATCGATGCCATACTTTTTCGTAGCAGATACAGGAATACATTTAACAGTTGGAATAACTAAGTATTTATTTACTAACTTCAAAGCGTTTCTAGTGTATTCTTCGAGTTTTTTTACATCAGCTTCCGAATTCGGCAATTCATTATTGAAGTATTCATCAATTTTGTTGAGTACACATATAACAGGCATTTCAGTACCATAAAAAATTATTTTCATCCATTTTAGAGCATTATTGACGTCATCCATAGTGTTTCTCAGAGAATTTATATTGCTCAATTCTTCTGGTGTGATAATCAGAATGACAGCATCAGGAAACACATCTGTTTGCATTTCCTTTTTAAATCTTTTTACCATCGGAGAGCCATCTGTTTGTGAACTAAATCCAATAGTGTCAACGAAAGTAGCATTCATTTCTGGTACGCATATTACTTGAAAATTTTGTGTGCCAATCATTTCATCATTACTAACTTTGCACACTTCTGTTTTACAGATACTATTGATTAAACATGATTTATCTGCATTAGTACTACCAAGAAAGTAACAAATATGTGATCTACTTGGTTTCAATGTATCTTGCAGAGAATTGAGAGTAGAAAATAATTCATTAAACAATTTATTCCGCCCTAAAGGGCTTAGTTTGACTTCGTTTTTCAGGTTATCAATGACGCTTTGAATATTTCTTACTAATATTTCTAATTCATAAGTTTTGACATTGTTATTTGAATTATTTGGCAGAGACTTAACATAGTTGAAATTTGTTGCGGATTCTGTGTTCTTCGATAATTTGTTGTTCATTGTTAGTCGAGTATTGTTTTTCAAACCAATATTATTTTCTAAAAGAAAACATTACAATACAATACCGTTTACTTCAAGTTAGTAGACTATTTGTTCGATGTTTACTAAAATCATTCCAGTTCTTAACAAGTACAAAAAAATTAATATATTCGTAGCTAAAGAGAAAAAAATCTTCAAGTAATTGATTTCAATAATATTCTTGGGCAAGGCAAAGGTAATTTGAAAAGCATGCTGACTAATAGAAGTTTAGTTTATTAATGATTTCTCAAATTCCTTTCATTTTTAAGAAAAATCTTTCTTCACTAAAGAATGATTCCTTTTAAAGACAAGCATCTGTTGAGAT